TACTCCTTAATTACTCCAGCTTACTCCATGTATTTTGTAGACCAGCCTTTATACGAAAATATGAACTCCCAGCGCCAACTTAATTCCGGTAGATTCACCCTGTATTATTTGCAGTGTTTGCTGTTATCTAAATAAAATTATATAGATGATTATCTAGATAAAATTTTAGCGTTATCTCATCTTTATATAGATAATAAAAACAAGTATGATCTATATCTGCATCTTAGATGAAAGTAAGTGTTATCTTTACTAAATTATCTAAGATAACGTACAGATAATTTGGTTTAGGGCCACATAAAAATACTTAACAGTTACACTATTTAAATATGGCGTTGTAGACCATGCATTTATGTGTGTGTCATATAACTTAACCTGAATATATTCTATATCCCCCTTTATAATTTATATTTTTCTATAATTTTTTTATAACTTTTTCTACTGCGTTTACATGAAGTCTTAAAAATGTTATCTGAAAATTATCTAGATGAATCATCATATAATTTTATCTTTTATCTAGATATATTCAAAACGAAATCATCTTTATCTTATCTAAGATAAATTAATATATTTTTATCTTATCTTTATCTAGCTAGTTTTAAAATCATCTATGCACAACACTGATTATTTGAATGTGTCGGTAGAAAAGATGACTTTACAAATCAAATGATGGTAAGAACCTTGAGACAAACAACTTAGTCGCTAGTATAGATGATGCTCACCCGAGGGACCTAACATCGAAAAGCGTCAGTCACGTCAAACGCATCCAAGGTTCGAGGGAGATATTGGAGGACAGCGATTTACTTGCTTGCGATTTTGGTTATTCACAGCCGTCTTGTTCTCGATGAATTCAGATTAACGTAAGTAACGGCTCGCATTTCTAAATATTCGAATTCTAATAAATGCACGCTCTCATCTCGATATCTCGTTATTCCTACGCCTTTTAAATGCGGCTGTCTAAAACTTTCTGCTCCATTTCCGAGCTGCTCTCACGTTGAATATTAATCATTGTTTTCCAATTTTACCGTTGTTCTCAAGTCTGTTACAACGTCCTATTATACATATTAGTTCGGCACGCAGTTATTTCTGAGCAAACTTGTTAATTGGCAAATTTGACGCGTACGGAAGCTATGCGCGTATGTGTTACTTCATTGCAAACAATCAAATTTGCATAATAAGAAAGAAATATGTGATACATTAATTTGGATTTATAACAGCTAGAACCGTCTATAGTCTTGTCGGATTTATGCCTGTCCATAATCTGTTTTTATTGCAGAATCTCGTCGGATTATTTCGCTGGGGCATTTATAATGTCTTCGGTCCAGCGTGCCTTTGCTCATAAATTAAACAAACAGCATGCCGCCGATGTGAGACGTCAAATTGCCACTTCAACCTCCTACTCCCGCGATCTGTCGAAGAGCGGTAGCAGTGTTTCGGGATTTTCTTCCACGGTGTGCAGCCCCCCTTCGAAAATTGGCGTGTTAAGATAGCGGCAGTCGACGTTGAAGTCAATTAACATTTAATCCTACCGCAGATGTCCTTGTGCGAGGTATTGGAACCTCTGGATTACGAGGAATTCTTGGGACAACATCAGTCGGTACTGGACCGGGATCCTTTGAAACCAATCCTAGATTTTCCTCCGGGCGATGTTGAACTGAGAGTCGTAAAGAGGAAGATTCGGACGGAGGAGCCGGTAGTACCGCACGAATCGATGTAAAGAGAAATATTCCAAGAGTTATTAATTGCAGCGCGGTCGTGTTCTCCGTTCATTCTTCATTTTGATCATTTGTCTTTCAGCGATACCGTGTCGCCTTATGTGAAAAGGTGCATTGAGAGTTTTACTTCAGACTGGGTCGTAATACACCGCAAGTACAAGGGCAGAATCTCACCCATCGCCAGAGACAGATTGCTTCAGGATACACCTAGGCAAGATTTCGAGGTACCTACACGCTTGGACAGTGTTTTTTAATAAAAAAATATGCCGGTTAAAATGTTTGTGTTAACTTTGTTTTAACAACCATATTAGGATTTACAGGGGATGGACAAAATAATGTGAACACCTGACTAACACACAATATTTGTTAATTAATAAGGTGTAGGGCCACCGGTTGCTTTTAAGACAGCTGTAATTCGTCATGGAATAGATTCGTAGAGTGCACGGATAGTATCCAACGGAATGTTGTCCTATTCTTCCACCAACACCTACGCCAATTGTCTCAATGACGGAAGTGGAAATCTGCTCCTCAAATTTATGTGGGACTGTTTGGAACATGTGATATTTGTTAAATTTATTGTAACACAAATTTTTCAACCGCCTAGCGAGATAAAATTAACTTGTTTATGACAAGTGTGACAGGAGATGAAAACGACTTGTCTCAATTAGGTAGATCAGGAAGATGCAAATGGTTGTGTGTCGCCGAACGAAGAGGACGACTTGTCCAATTCCGGAGATACTCCGCGAGGATCTTGGGCGAGTCTGGATTTGCGGCATTCGCAGCACGACCCTCTTCTGCCGAGTTTGCTGGATCGTGTCTGCCTTGAAACGATCGATCAGATGAACGAGCAGAAGAGATTGGAGGATCGACAGGTACGAGATTACAAAGCGGCAAACCCGTTCGTTTTATTTTAATTCCGATATTTATTTCTCAGGAAGCTTTATTCCCGCTCTACGCCCCACCAACTCCTCTTGACGACGAGTGGCAAGAAATCAGCGTTGCCCCGGAACCTACGGAGCCTTTTGCTCATAAAATTCTCGTGAAATGTCTGCAGTTGAAGTTGGAACTGGAAGTGGAGCCGATATTCGCGAACCTCGCATTGTATGACGCCAAAGAAAAGAAAAAAGTACGATGTCTTATTTTATCATTGAAATTATGGCTTCGAGAATGCATAATTACAAATCGTTATATTCCAGGTGTCTGAGAATTTCTACGTCGATATGAATTCAGAGGGATTGAAAAGAATGCTTGGGGGACACATCGCTTACAGCGACGCAAGTACCTTAGCTAGAAGTTGCGTTTTGAGCGTAAGTAAGCCGAGTCCCGACTTGTTTCTTGTCGTGCGGCTAGAGAAAGTACTGCAAGGCGACATATCGGAGTGTGCCGAGCCATATTTACGCGAAGATAAAAATAAAGATAAGGTAATCAAGTGATGAGATGAAATATGCTGATGCCATTCAAAGTGGCGATTTTTAACTATTATTATCCTATTGATTTCCGCAGGTCAGAGCTGCCGCCGCTGCTGCGTGCGAACGCTTGGGCCGTTACAGAATGCCTCTCGCGTGGACTGCGATTCATCTGTCTGGTGTAATCGGAGGCGGTGGCGATGCGGACAGCACTGGCAGCGCTGGATCTTTAGACAGAAAGTCGAGCGGCCTGGAGCAGTGGCGAAAGAAAGTGGAACCGCCGACGCGACGAGGCTCGCTAGAAAGACGGAGCTCGGATAAAAGACGTAGTTGGTCGCCGGACGATTTTGCTAATTGCCTCGATAGCTTTAGGTTTGTACAATGCCATTTTTCTACGAAATGGCTTAAATAACATCCTGATATTCTTGTAGGCCCATTACTTTAACGGTCTCGAGCTTCTTCAAGCAAGAAAGCGAGCGACTTCGCGATGAAGATCTTTATAAGCTTTTGGTTGAACTACGAAGACCCGGTTCTAACTTGAAACGATTAAAATGCCTACCAGGGATACTGAAATTGGATCTCAGTCCCAGACCCGAGGAACTGCCGAGATGTCTTGATCCTGATCTTAGAAGATTAGTTCCATATCCGGATGAAAAGAGTCGACCGGTTAAGGAGATACTCGAATTTCCAAGCGAAGTCGTTTCGCCAGATTTAATGTATCGTAACCTTCTATATCTTTACCCCAAGGTGCGTATCAAATAAAATTGTACGATCGATTGTTTCCTATTAATTAAATGACATTAGAATTAATGTTTTATTGTGCGTAGGAAGCGAACTTCAGCTCCAGAACTGGCTCGGCCCGCAATATCGCTGTAAGAATTCAGCTTATGGGAGGTGAGCAGGAAGCCGACGCGCTTACAGCTATCTTCGGCAGATCATCGTGTCCTGAGATGACGCACGAGTATTTCACTTCCGTGTCGTACCACAACAAAAATCCCAACTTTTACGACGAAATCAAGATGAGACTACCAGCGGACTTGAGCGCAAAACATCACTTACTGTTCACCTTCTATCATATTAGTTGCCAGAAGAAGGCGGAACAACCTAACGTGGAAACGGCGGTCGCGTATACGGTAAATTTCCATCGGCAATTAATAAAACTAGCGGACTTGATAATTTCACCGATGTACCAAATATGTAAATTTTCTCTTGCAGTGGCTACCGCTTTTAAGAGATGGTCATCTCCAGTCGGGCGAGTTCAGTTTGCCAGCTATGCTAGACCCGCCACCTGCAAATTATTCCTACATCGCACCCGATGTTCTTCTGCCAGGCACTCGATGGGTCGATGCTCATCGAGGGGTCTTCACTGTCATATTGGAGCCTGTTTCTAGCGTTCATCCGCAAGACAAATATATCGACCGGTAATAATATATTTTTCCGTCATGTAAATCGAGTAAAAAGATACGTAACAAATTTCAACATAATTTCCACATTTGCAGATTTTTATCATTATGTGGCTTTCTGGAAACCGGCCAAGTTCCGCCTCGTATCGGCGAAGCTGGCATGGAGTCCGAATTGAAGTCGGCTCTCCTCGAATTGGCGCGTGCCTCGCATTCCGCCTTGGTGCGATCTCTTCCCCAATTACTGGATCAATTACTATGTCTCCTGGTGCGACCGCCAACATTGCCGTCCCAATCGTTGAACGTCGCGGCCACCATCTTCGAGGCTCTGGGACTGCTCGTGCGAAATATCACCAATTTACCGGACGGCCAATTGGACGCGCACGGAAGACACGCGCTCCTGGCCACCTACATCGCGTATCAGTGCTCCTTGCCGAGCATGACTCACAACGGGGGCGTCGTGCGAGCGCAGAGCAATCCCGATCTGCCTCTGGAGGATCTGGAGATGGAGATGCACTCGCGGGGATTAGACAGAACGGCGTCGATGCGGCAGGAGTCTCCCTCGATCAACAGTCATCCCACCCGAAGACTTCTACACGAGGAACTCGCCTTGCACTGGGTGGTGTCCACTGGACAGGCGCGCGAACTGGCGATAACCCACTCCTGGTTTTTTCTGGAGCTGATAATGCGCTCGATGGCTGTCACACTGTCTGAGATGGGCTCCATGGAAGCGCTGCGAAAGGTGAGATTCTCACCGCAGTTCTGCGACGACGTCGCGACGCTCATCGCCGCGTTAACGTCCGAGGTGGTGTCGCGCTGCGGCAAGGAGATCCGCGTGGCGTCCAACTTGATATCGAGCCTCGGCAATTTCCTGTCCGATCTGCTATCCGTAATGGACAGGGGATTCGTGTTGTCGCTTGTTCGCGCTGCCTGTTGCTCGCTGTCGGACGCGTCGATGCACATTCCCGATTCGGCAGCGTTGTACGCTCTGAAACTCGATCTTGTGAGAACGGTGTGCTCGCACGAGCACTACGTAGCACTGAATCTTCCCTTCGGCACAGGCTACACGTCGGGATCCGCTCCGGCATCGCCCAGCCCGTCGACCGGCAGCTCGGGCAGCCTGATATCCACTCTCGTGCCCGGGGACAGAGCCCGGTTCTCGGAACTCAGCCAGGAGTTTAGGCAACAGCACTTCCTGGTCGGCATCGTTCTCTCCGATCTGGCGAACACCTTGGAGATACCAAATCCGATGCTGCAGAATAAAGCTATCGGGACCGTCCGACACCTTATGAGCTGCCACGATGCCGATCCACGATACTCCGATCCCGCGGCGAAGGCGAGGGTCGCTGCGCTGTATTTGCCGTTACTCAGTATTTTGATGGATGCCTTACCCCAACTTTATCACTGGGACTCGAAAGACAAAAGCGTTTATCCGGACGAGTCCGGATCGATCACGCAGTCGGTGGCGCTGGCTATCGCTGGCGGAGCGTCAGCGGACACCGCGGGCAATCAGTGTCGCGTGTCCTTGAGCTCCGAGGCTACTCGACATTTGTTGATGTGTGCCTTATGGGTGCTGAAGGGATTAGAACGCACCGCTCTGGCGCAGTGGTGTTCCGAGCTTAGCGCGAGGCGCATTCTGAGCTTGCTGCAAGTACTGAATATTGCTACCGCAGCTTTCGAGTACAAAGGCAAGAAGGCGCTGAAAAGATTGCCACCTCAAGCAACGGCCACCAGCGACATTCGGTCGCGGCTGGAAGACGTGATTCTCGGTCAGGGAAGCGCCAGGAGTGAAATGATGCTACGAAGAAAGGAGAGAGTGACTGGAGACAAATTGAGATGGCGGAAAGATCAAATGCCTTACAGGTACAAATGTTGTATTGCTGTTACTATAATTACGGTCATAATTATATAATTATGTTGATCCTTCAAGATCCTGCGAGCAGCCGGAAGGAAGAGCTGTAGAGCAAGACGCTCATATAGAAGGAGCCTTAGCGGCTGAGGCTTCTCTCGTCGTATTAGATACCTTAGAATCCGTAGTTCAAGCTGACGGCGGTGGAGGTACCGTCGATCTTTTATTTCGCTGTTTGAGTGTGACATGACAGATCAATCACATGTTCAAAATTACTCAGGTGCGGTCGTCGGCGCGGTATTGAAGGTGTTACTGAGAGCGCTGGCCAGAAATCAAAGTACATCGGTGCTTCAGCACATGTTCAACACGCAGCGGGCTTTGGTGTTCAAGTATCACAGCGCGTTGTTTGACGAGGAGAGCGAGCGCTGCGGGGATTTGTGCTTGACGTTGCTGACTCGATGCAGCTCGCCCTTAAGCGCTATTAGAAGTCACGCGGCTGCGAGCCTGTATTTGTTGATGCGACAGAATTTTGAAATTGGGAATGTAAGTCTGTCGCGAGGCCTCGTAGTATTGCGATCTGTGATTCAGTTATTTTAATCCCACGTTCTTCTTAGAATTTTGCGCGCGTCAAAATGCAAGTCACCACATCCTTATCTGCTCTGGTTGGAAGAGGAAGAGCTCCTAGCGAGGGTGCGCTGCGTAGAGCGTTGAAAACGGTGCTGGTATACGCCGAGAGAGATACGGAGCTTGCGGACACGAGTTTCCCCGAACAGGTGAAGGACCTGTTGTTCAATCTTCATATGATCCTCTCTGATACTGTTAAGATGAAGGAATTCCAAGAGGATCCTGAAATGCTCCTGGATCTAATGTACAGGTAAGATTTCTAAATGCATCTTAGCAAACAATGATAATTTAACTTATTAAGACGTAACGAGCTAAGGGGTATATCTAAATTTTGTTTAGAATCGCCAAGGGTTATCAAGGATCGCCTGATCTTCGTCTGACTTGGCTCGCAAACATGGCGCAGCAGCACATGGAGAGGAAAAATCACACGGAAGCAGCGATGTGTCTGGTGCACAGTGCCGCTCTGGTAGCGGAATATCTTCATCTGCTCGAACCTGGTGGTGGCGGCCGGCCTGTAGGAGCCGTTGCTCTGAATGCCGTAACACCGAATGCTTTAGAGGAGAGTGCTGTCGGCGACGACGTACTGGCCAGAAGAGAAGAGGGGCTTTGCTTGGGTCCCGATTTTTCAGAGAGTGGGTTGGCGGGTTTACTGGAGCACGCGGCCAGCTCTTTTCACGCGGCTGGAATGTACGAAGCTATTCCCGACGTCTACAGGGTGTTGCTACCTATAGCGGAAGCTGCACACGACTATAAGAAATTGGCCAACATTCACGGGTAAGGAAATTTAAATTATTTAGCACGTTGTGATCAGTAAGATATTTTTTCGGAACTTCTTTTAGCAAACTTCACGAGGCATATACGCGTGTTGAACAACTGGCTGGCAAGCGTGTCTTCGGGACGTACTTCAGAGTTGGTTTCTACGGCGCTCGATTCGGCGATCTCGCCGGCGAAGAGTTCGTATACAAAGAGCCAACGTTGACGAAGCTCCCGGAGATATTTTCGAGACTCGAGAACTTTTATGCCGAGAGATTCGGCGCAGACAATATAGTCATAATAAAGGATTCGAATCCTGTGGATCCTACCAAGTTGGAACCGGACAAAGCCTACGTCCAGATCACTTATGTGGAACCGTATTTCGAAGCACACGAGCTTAGGCACAGACCCACCGTTTTCCACCGGAATTTCAACATAAGTGCGTATTAATAATTTGCAGAATGACACGGATCTCCTGGGTGATTTATATATTTTAATCATCCAGGACCTAAGAAAAGTTTGATTAATTAATTTAGTTTTACTTATTTTATGGTTTTACCTATTTTAATTTTGTCCTGATTTTATTCTCAAAAGTATTGCGTTCACATCCTGTATTCTCGATTGTTTTATTGTAGCTGTACTGAGGAAAACCCGAAACGGGGTCGAAATGTTTATATTAAAGAGAAATTTTGTTTCTAATTTTTGTGGTAAAATTTGTGGCTCACATTGGCACTCTCCCCTTTCTACATAATTTTGAATTTCGATTTGATAATGGCTTTTGTTTTTAGAGCGATTTGTTTATGCGACACCTTTTACACCTGGTGGCAAGGCTCACGGCGAGTTACGCGAACAGTGCAAGCGGAAGACCATATTAACGGTAGCGACGCATTTCCCGTATCTGAAAACCAGAATTCGAGTCGTGGCTCGGAAACAGATAGTCCTGAGCCCCATCGAAGTGGCAATTGAAGATATACAGAAGAAGACTGCCGAGGTATTGATCGAGTCCTCACATACTTTAACAGCATACTTTTACAGTATACATGTAATACATTTCTCTGTGATCTTAATTAGGTGGCTGCTGCGACCGCTCAGGAACCACCCGACGCAAAGATGCTGCAAATGGTCCTTCAAGGTTGCATTGGCACGACGGTCAATCAAGGACCTGCTGAGGTAGCGGTCGTGTTTCTTTCCGGTTTACGCGAACAAAATGCCCAACCGACCAGATTGCAGCACAAGCTTCGTCTGTGTTTCAAAGATTTCCAAAAGAAGTGTCTCGACGCTTTGCGGCGTAATAAGAATCTGATTGGACCCGATCAGCGGGATTATCAGCGGGAGCTGGAGAGAAATTATCAAAGATTGACCGAGAGATTGGCACCTCTCATTGCTTGGAGGTAAGAAGCTTTAATTAAAAGTATATCTTTTCAACTTTATCACGTTAAAGAAATTACTGTTACGCTGCCACGTAGCGGACCGTCCTTAATTAATCAGCAAGCTGTACCGTCGACTCCTCCGCGCTGGTAGGGACATGAAACACTGCCATTGAAGCTTACCAAAGACTAATGTATCCAATTATTAATCGTGTATGCGATTGTCATGTAGCTAATTCCACTTGCAATCACTATTGTGAAACATGTTCGTACGTTGAATCCTTGTTTTATAATATTAAAAATTATTTCAAATTATTTGTAAAATGAATATTTAATTAGAAAATTATATAAGGTATTATTATTTATGAGTTATAGAGAATATATATATATATATATGTATATATATATATATTGTATATGTGTGTGTACGTATGTATGTATGAGTTATTAGGAAAAATAGTTTCTTTTGTTGTAAAAACAAGAACAAGATAGTATTATAAAATATTGTCGGATTTCCAAACTTGTTAACGCTAAATTTAATAACCATACAATAATCAGCATTTTTATAGAGCAGGGATTCAGCGTAACTTGTTTGTATAATATCTCATTTGTATACTTATTTGTATAATTGAGATTTTTATACTTACGAGTACTTAAGTATTTCGGTATGTTGTGACCGTCACATTAGATGAATATGACTTGGACGTTTATATTTAGAATTTGTATTTTTTTCATAACTGATAAATGTCTTTGTATGTATATATCAAGCAATATGTTTTGTTCTAAATATCTTCATAGATTTTTCATCAATTTGCGCGTTTATTTATTAAATTTGTCAAAACGCAATGTAGTTTTACAGCATTAAGTGCTTGCAAGTGCTTACAAGTCTAAGAACTCTAACAATATGTTTCTGTATTAATTATTACTTCATCAAGATTAATTTATCGCTATAACTTACATGTTTGACATTTTTTCTACCGATATTTATTGCATTTCAGCAACTTACTGTATCAGAAATATAAATTTTGATACTGTGTAATCATCTTTACATTTTCTTATATGGTTTTGCATTTTATGAATCAAACGAACGCTTTACTACGATAAACATTATTTTCGAAAAAGGACTAGATTAGATAACACCTTGACTAGAAATAATTCTTTAGTTATTACTTGATTGCACCGAATGCAATGTACGAGTAGAATGGCGTATAACGCACTTGGTTTCTAAGCCGTAAGTTATAAAAGATAATTCGCGTATTTTATATTTTATATACATTGTACATATATGTACAGTACCGGCTAAAATTATGTCACCTTTCGATTTTTTGAGCATAACTAGTTTTAAAGTGCCCGAATAAAAAAATCGAAAATCATGGTGTATTTTGTGACATTTCATGTATTTTGTGACATTTCATTGCCCTTACAAGATGCACCTGTTATCGGGTGTTACATATTAACATTATGCTATACTGTACTTAAATCACTCAAACATTGAATTCCTAGCGAAGAGTTCTAGCATCAATTGCTGTCATTTTATTTCCATACATTGTTTACGCATACTGACTATCTGGGATGATATAATGTTGGCCGGTACTGTATTGTATATGTTTATAAGCATACATATGTCTATTAAAATAAGCTGAAAGACGTTTTCCCATCATTTATTAAATGGAAACCGTCTTGCAATTACGGCATCCTAGATCTCGAGTAAAAAATGCACTTTTGTATTCCTCGAAAAACACTGAAAATATAGGCGAATTTTGTACACAATCAGCTTATGTTTCGAGGGACGAGAGAGAAAGGAAGTAGGCGAATATCTGTCTTCATTGAATCAATGGACCCTCGAACAATCCGTTTACGATCCTCCGGGCTGTCTCCCTCCGCCTATTCATCGTCCCCTGACTATCCATTTTTTCGCTCTCGTATCATTTTCGAATAACCATTTCGTTTTATTGCTACCTGCATCTTGATTTCCGGACTACCAAGAGTCGCCCCTGCTTTTGGTTTGACCCCTCTGTTTTTATCGAAAAAGAGATTTATGGGGGCTAAATATTTTTATATAATATTTTTATATTATATAAAATATACACTAATATACGCTAAATATACACATTTCGTCATTTTTCTTCAAGACTTTATGTCGAAAGCGTGTTTGAAAACAATGTTATTATCGCGAATACATGCAGAAATTGCTTTGTATTTTATATATAGGTACTGCCCTAAAATTTCGGATAATCTCTTCCTCGTCTTTCCTCCATTATTTCTCATTCCCGAAATTCCGCGTAATGCCCGTAAAGTGATATTACCAGCCTGAAGAAATGATGCGCTCAAATTCACGTGCGTCGAACGGAAGCGGTAACGATACAGACGTAAACGTAGATGCGCCGAGTGTCTTGACTCTCCAGACCAGAAGAAGAGAGAGAGAAAGAGAGGGGGAGGGGAGAGGAAACAGAATAAAGCGTCTTAAAATGTCGTAACGGAGGCGAGAGAGGCTTCCATATTGGAGGTCTCAGATAAAAGGTTTACCTTTGAACTCGGGATGAGACTTCTCGAAGGATTTTCTCGAGGAAAACTTTGATCGCGTTAAGAGATTTCCTTCGGGGTACCAGCGAGACCGCGTCGCGGAAAATTCCTCTCGAAGTGTTCTCTCGCGATGCGGAATCGTGCGAAGCGGAAGAGGAGAAAGGAGCGATACGGAGGAAAAGGCCGACGGGGGTGACGGTGCGGGGCAAAAAGTATCGTTCGAAATTTTCCCCCTCGCGTTCCTCTCCGACGACGACGGCGGCGGCAGCTACCCTGTTTATATTGTTCACGGTCCATTTAACTCTCAAATGCGCCGACGATTCTCCCCGATTCCCGCCCCATTTCGCGCCTGCACTCCTGTTGCGTGCCTTCCCGCTTCCTCGCTTATTTGGTAATCTACTTTTTCCAACCCCTTCGCGACCGCGAGGAGTTGCCGTCCTTTTTGTCATCGTTAATCACCGTTATCCTTCCCTCCTCTTTTCTCCTTTCCCAAGCGCGACAGGATTCGGATGCTTATTCTTATGCTCGCGCGATTGGATTATTGTTTTCCGAAAAGAATATTTATGTTATATAAAAAGGAGAGGAATGTCAAGTTCAATATGTGCTCGATGGAAAATCCGAGTCAAATCCCATACCTAAGTTTCATTCTTTGAGTTATGAGAAATATTTGATACATTGAACTTGCGAATGAAATGCCGAATGTTTGGAATTCTAGAATGACCCCGATAGGAAAATGTCTCAAATATTGCGTAATAATTGCATCCTCCAAAGGAGGAAATAATTAAGGTAATTCGTCAAAACGCAGCGGAACACAATTACGTGTATTAAACGTTTAGGAAAGATTTAGCATGGGACGTCTTTACCGCTAGGCCTGCTTTTATGTATCTCGTCTCGCGTGAATTTTACTTAAACGAGTATGAAACGCCTCGTAGCGGCGGCTCGTCGTAACAATAGCAATTTAATTGTGCAAATATTCTGCCAGGGTGATTCGCCAAAACGCAGCTGTTATAAATAATATTTCATACAGATACAATTATATTTATTATATTCACACATTTCTCTCTCGATCCATCACGAGCGCTGAAAGCGGTGGGAATCTCGGAATCGTCATGAAAGACTAACGCTTTGTATTTTATATTATATTCATGAACGTTCCGTTGAATATTTCTTTGTGCTTGCAATCACGAGGTTGGGCTCCTCGGTCTTGTTAAGCCTCGGAGGGAAGGGATGAGAGTGAATTAATTTGAAATATTCAAATCGGCCAATAGCACGCGCGCGAACACGCCGCGCTACATTAGTTTCGCGCCAGTCGCGTCGGCACGCGGGCCCCGCTCCGCCCGGGTCCCGGGTTTTTCGCATTTTTTATCCGGCGAGAGTACATCGCGCGCGCGAAAAGCGCCGCCTGGGTGATCGCTGTAACGGATTAATCGCCGGATTCGGGACTATACGGCCGCGCTTTTTTTTCCCCGCAGCATTCGCGCACCGAGTGGGCAACAACCCTCGATTGAAGTTGAAAACGGTACAATCCCGACGGAAAGCGCGCGGGCGACACTCGCCGCACCGTCCGTTACCGTCCGCCAAGCGAATCCATCACGGCGCATAATTAATTGCTTATTTGTTCACGATTACCTCGTTATTATTCTTGCGTAATGATTACGCGCGTGCGCTCGCTTTAGACGCTCGACGATTAATGAGTCCGGAATTAGGGGATAAAAGGGCGGAATCCTTTGTGACTTAATTTACAGCGAAATGCGAGTTATTTGGGATTACGAGGGCGCCCGGCCCCCCTCCTCCCCCCCGCTCCTGGATATTCCCAGCATCTTCGGGAATCCGTGCGAATTTGTCCCGCGAACTTTCTCGGCACGCGCCCTTCAACCCCCGAGGAATTATCCCCCGCCATTGCCGCGATATCGCCCATCCAGAACCGAGCGTGATATCAAATGCGTATTTACGGGGGAGCCGGACAAATGAATTAGAAACGCATGGCCGCCCATCTCGACCGGCCGGTGCGAGCCCGGCACATTTTGCGAAAAATTCGGTGACTCGGACTGATGTCCCTTCTCTCTCCCGCGTACCGGGGAAAATTTATCATCTCCAACTTGCAGCCCAAAGTCGGATCCGCGCGCCGCTCGATACCGGCGGGCCGCAAATACGGCGATCTGCGATAGCCGCCGTCTCCCGCGAGGGACTTCATTCCCACATTATCTTTCGTATTATACTACAAATTAATAGCATCAAGAACTCGATTAGAGCGGCGCCGTAATTAACTCGGCTATTTCACTTAGCATCGAAATCCCGGTTGTCGGCGTATATAATTCCTATAGTTCCCGGTTCCCCCCCGCTTCCTCGCCCCTCCCGGATCCACCTGCTCCCCCCTGATACGCCGTCCGCGCGCAGCGCAGCCTCCGGCTCCAGATTCTTGTTCCGGCTTGTTCCGCGCTTTCGACGCGGAACGTTTCGCCCACCGCGATTATGTTATCGAATCGTCGGAAGGGCTGGAGGCGAGAGTGTGGGGTGGTCGTGGGGGCAAGAGCGGGCGAACCCCCGAACCCGGGGGCCCAGGAGGCGCCGGGAATTCCTCTCTCCGTCTCGCGAAATGACGGTCGTACACCTCCGTGATGAATTATTTAGCATTTTGCGCGTCGCCCCTAGGGGATACACCTGGCGATCGATACCGGTTCCGTTTGATTACGCACTGCCGAGTGCGCGAAATTAGCAAACTTCCCGGCACGACACCCCGGTATGGCTCGGTCCCCTCCCCCTTGCACCCCTATCACTTTCTTCTTCTCTTTTTCTCTCCCCCTCTTCCTCCCCCCCCCCTCCTC